CTTCTGAGAGATTTATTAAATTATTTTTTTGTTTTCTTATTTCTAAATGCTCTTTAAATTTTCTTTTATAAACATCTTTTTCAAAATGCAGAATTTTTATATTATTTCGGTTAATTTTACAATTATTATTATTTGTATGATCATACCACAGAGAATTACTGTATTTCAATCTGATTGCCGCTTCATGTTCTTTTATTCTAACTTCTAACATGCGCCCTGTTTCACCTATGTACATATATGGATTGTACATATAATCCATATATTGTGTATTCCATATATTAATATGAAATACACAATTTTAGGTTGAAATATTGAAGACGGTTTGTCTCCCACTCCCTAATTTGAGATAAAAAAGAAACAATTTTTATAATTTACAAAATTGGAAAATGTAAGTGTTTTTTGTGATTTGATTTGTTTCATGCAATATAACATAGTCATGTTTTAATATTTCTTGTTTTATTTGTAATAGCACTGAAGAGGGGTTGGAATACATTGTACCAACCCGAAATATATTTGTAGTCCAATGAAAAATAAAAGATAATTTGCTAACCAGATATTGCTGTAAGATACGTCTACCAAAGTGTGTTTTTGGATTACAGAGACGAATTTACAATTGTAATATAATATACAGCAAGCCGTTTATATAATATAATAAATTTTGTCATTGTTAACAATATATTCCTGGTCTAATTTCTGCTATTTTGTATAGTCTTTTTATATAATATACGTGCCTAAATTCCCCCCACTGGGGGAGATGGACAGGATTAAGGCTACCGTAAAGAACTCTGCTTCTATTTATACTATTTTAGATGCGGTTTTTTGCGTTTTTTATTGCGTTTTAATAGGGTACGTCAAGAGAATGTAAACTAAGAAGGGATTTATCGAAAAAATTCCCCCCATGGGAAAAATGTTATACATTTATAATAGATACATTTTGAGCAACAACAAAGCGTGGCGGGGTCTGCTAGTTTCATTTAATTGTCGTGTTTTAATTTTCTTGGATAATAAAACATTTCATAATTAATACAGAAACTTTGCCTTATTGTTAAAATAAAATTAATTTAATTAATTTTGTGAACAGTGCTATTCAATTTTCATCTCAAAATTAATTTTGTGATCAAAGCTTCCCAAACCACTACTACTAAGAACAAACAAACAATTTCGTTTATAATTATATTATAGTAAGGATTATTAAGAATATATTAGTTATATTTTTAATAATCTTTATTACTAATATATCTTAAATACGATTATATAAATACAAAATATTGAACATTAAATATTGTCTTAACAAAAATAATAATAAAATAATCCGAAAAACTTGTATACAGAATGAACGAAGAAAAACATTCTTCGCTTGGACATTGACGGTTGTTGCAGCATGATATATATTAAAATTATTAGGAAACTTTTGTTAGATATCGCCTATATTGCCGTTTACAACCCGATTATTTTAAACCAGACTACTTTACTATAAACTTTGTATCTGGAGACGGCTTATTTAAAGAATGCATCCATACGATTAACATATAACATTCTGCTCTCTATAATTTCTGTAGACAATATTCTCAGACGTCTTTACTTAATTTGTTCGGGGTAAATTATTCAAAGATAATATACTAAAGTATAGTTTTGTAATCAGACAAGATATTCATTATTTTATTAGCACTTAATATTTGAACAATAATAACGCCTATATTCGTTCATACATCATTATACTTATTACATGTACTGTAGATAAAAAGACTACTCTCATATCTATTAAAGTATCTATAATAACTGATATCCCAGTACTACGTGCGTTCGCTCGTTCTAATTATATATAACTATTATCTATGTATTTTCTTAATTATACATAAGGTATATCACTATTATTTGTGTATTTTTTCTTATCTGCTACTTGCGTTAAAACTTACAAACGTGGTATACGAGATGTAGACTCTAATAAACAACTAACAAATACAATTGTTGTTTTACATTACAGAAAGTGATTTTTAAACTAAATGTAATAGTATAAACCTTTATGTATTACTCATCTTGTATATTAAAAAATCACAACGATGACACGGATCTAAATTTTCCTTCCGAGCACCCAACAGTGCGATAATCACAGTTCGGCTTTGAATTTGTTACGATGTTGGAATCTCTATCACAGATCAACACATTTACATGCATGTTTAGCCGATGCCGAAAAAAATTTTTTTCTTCTGTGTGCA